GCAGCCCTTGGCAGCATGGGCTGGGCAGCAGCTCCCGCTGCCCGTGCGAGAAGCTCGGATCTCTCCTCGCTGCCTGGGGTCTGGCAGTGGGGAAAACCACCTTCTTGTTGGAAACCTGAGCATATCAAGACAGTCTCTGCAGGAGGCCCCACAAAACTGAGTTACAGTTGCTTTTCAAAGGAAGTCAGCATTTTAATTAATTGCTAAAATAAGGACACAGCTATAACAAACTAAATAAAAACGCTACAGTCCTTTGAACCTCTGGAGGCTCTATGCCAACACTGGGCAAATGCTGGTTTAGGCCACGGCACTTTCATGATCCCTGGTTTGGGAGACACAGCAGCTCCTGGGACAGACCCCAGCAGCTGTTTAACAGCACCCAGCGATGCTGAACCACAGCCGAGTACGGAGACCACCAGCACCACAGCCAAGGGAAGGCAGGAGGGAAGGACAGGGCCAGGACCACTCTGGAAACACTCTGCTTACATAAAGTCTTAGGAGCTGCAAGTCACCAGGATCTCATGTTTTAAAACACCAACAGCCAGGCCAGGGATCCTTCCAGGTGAAAGGCCTCCTTTGTATCACCGTGCTAGTCCACACCAACACCCCTGTTTGCCTGCCTGGGTTCTCACACCTGAACCAGACTCCCTCTTCTCTTTTGCCTGTGCCTTTGCGGGGTCTGGCTGAGGTTGTCACGCACAGGGTGAAAGCCAAGGGACAGGATTACCTGCTGTCCTCACAGAGAGCAAGTACAGTGGGCACAGGAACACCGGCCTCAGCGAGCGCCTTCAGCACCCTGCCAGGGCAAGCCAGAGAGCCATGTCAGCACAGAAAGGCATTGGGGAATCCACAGCAGAGCTGCATTTTTTGCTAGGTAGATGCACAGTATTAAAGACTCCTGTGGTCAGTGTTAAATACACTAAAATTATGTGGCTGGGAGGAAAGCAACACACCAAAATCTTCCTAAGGCCCAGAACCCCAGGATCCATCCAACACGCTCCTTGGAAAGCCATGGGGAGAGCACGATAGACATCCTGCTGCTGCTGCTGCTGCAAGTGTGTGGCACAGCCGCCTGCCCTGCAGCACAGCCCCTGCGAGGGGGCCAGGCCCCGCTGGGCTCCTGCCCCTCGTTGGCAGCGCGAGCCCCACTGCACAGGGGCTCACGTGTGGGAGGAAGAAGAGCTGAGGGAGTCTGAACCACTGCGAGCCAAGGGAAGGAGGCAGACGAGGGGCCGGAACCTGTTCCTGAGCATCCGTGTGAAACTCCCGGGTGGGAATGCGAGCGCCATCTTTGGAGCCAGCCCAAGAGGGAACAACCAACATGTTTACTTGGCAAAAAATCCTGCCAGGCTTTAGTTAGGAGAGGAGACAACAGCAGCAAAGCCTCACTACGCCTGGCTGGGCACCCATTCCGAACAAAGAGTGTCATTCTGGAATCGCACACAATGCTCTTTAAATGCAACAAGAGGAATGTGCCCCTATCTACCAGGCAGGATCAGCCATTGTTCCTCCAGGAGTCCTGAGCTTTCAGCTGGCAGCTTTTCTAAGGGACACAGGGACTTCTAAAAGGATCCTGCCTCACCTGACATGCTGGGAGAGCTGCGTTATGCCACACGGCCTGGGAGGATCCATGGTGTGGCAGGGAAAATGCCTTCACGGGGCTTTGAGCACAGGGTCCCAATTGCGCCTTCACCCGGAGCTGCGGGGCAGCAGCCCCAGGTTGTGGCACTGCGCTGTCCCTTGGCCGGGCCATCGGGGATCTCCCAGCACAGCGTGCACCAGGGACAGGGCACAGCAGCTGCCTTCTCACCTGCACTCCTTGGTGACAGCGGGACCCGTGGGGAGCAGGTCGTCAGGGGGCTCCTTCTTCAGCACCAGCGAGCGATCTCCAAGCTTGACGTAGTAGGTGAGGGGAGGCTCTCTGTGCCCAAACTGCCGTAACACCAGTGGACCTGAGCAGTTGTGAGCAAAACATAAGCAGCTAGAAGCAAGGGCTGGGATTATTTTTCACCACTTCTCCAGGTCTAGTTTCCCTTTCTGTGCTTGGGGTTGGAATCTTTGCAGCAACCAGGAACCCACCCATTCCTTCTCTGTCCCAAATCCCTAGGGACTATGGCAGTAGCTCTCTAATGGCAGTACGCTAGGAACATGCCTGACATTTCTTTGGCAACTTTTGCTCAATCCCTCCCACATAAGAAAGTCCTAAAATGTTGCTTCCCAGTCCAACAGTGAGGGATCACCGCGTATTAAAAGGCTGCAATGTTTTCTTGCTGAGTGAGAAGCCTTTTGGTATTAGTATTTTCAATCTACCTGTCATATGATGGAAAGAACAAAACACTCAAGGATATGTGAACTTTCAGGCTGAAGAAAGCACTGCAGTACCTGTTGTCTGGCCACCAAGGACATGTTCAAGGTACTTTTGGAGACGATTTTTTGGTATGTCCGTGGTTGGTCTCACTGAACGAGTATACGGAACGAAGCCTTGCAAAGGAAAACCCAGATAGGCTTCCAGCTCTCTGAGAGCTCCTGCTGTATCAACAACCTGAAAGCAGGAGGGAGGAAGACTGGATGAGAGAAGATAAAACAGAGAGCCCTGCATGCTTGCGATACGTTTATCTGCGAGTCCAAAGGCCCTGATCTTCTAAAACATACAGGCAACAAGGAGAACCAGTGTTCGCAGAGCCGCCCGCCTTAGTCTTGCTCCAGTTCCAATGGCACAGGCACATGCCGGTGCCTGGAATAAGAGCTGGAATTCCCTGTGTGCACGGGAGCAGGGTTTACTCTTCTCACTTTTTCTGTGCTTGCACTTTCCCCGCAGGGCCCCTCACTTTAATAAAAACCCTGTGTTCACATGAAGTTCCAAAGCTGGGGGGTTATCCAGACCTCATGTGACAGGTACACGAAGCCTCAGAGCCTCCAGGAAGTTATTAAATATGCTCTCAACCACACGGTTAGGGTTGCTTCTGTAACAGGGAACTGAGGTCTATGAAGTAGAAACAACTTCTCCAAGGTTACACTAGTTGCAGGGTACAAGGCTGGGAATGAAACAGGCTGGTGCAGACTTTGCCAGCAGTGCTCTCCTTTGATCCTGCTACAGCCTGCAGAAATAACGACCGGCTAAAACAAACGGCTTGGCAACGTGGGGCTGCACTGCTACGCCAAGTCCCCAGCCACTCGGGTCAAACACAGTTTCTGGACTTGGAAACCACACCTAAAGTCTGCCCTGACTGCATTGCTTTGTACCTTCACTGTTTTAATGCCAAGCTGGGCTGCTGCCTTTAGGTTCTGGCTGATGTCATCAAGGAAGATGGACTCGTGGGGCTGAACACCCAAGCGCTCCAAGCAGAGCTTGTAGATGCGAGGATCCAGCTTGGACATTCCCTCGCGGCGAGTTTCAACTATCTGCAGTGACAAACAGTGGGTTTTGCATGAATCTGCTGTGATCACAGACACCTGAGCAGCGCTGGAAACGGAGGCAGGAGGGTGTGAGACTGACAGGCAAAGTAATGTGAAAATAAAGGACACAAGAGGTGGAGGGCTGACAGCTGGATAACATGGGCTGCAAGTTACTGTTTGGGTGCTGACTGCCTTGGCAGGAATTATTACACCCCCAAAGGACTCAAGATCTTCTTGATCCAGATTTGGGCAGATAATTGCAGTTAACATATGCAAAAAGATGAATTAATAATGATATAATGTTGACAAGATGACTTTAAACAGTCCTGGATTTTCAGCAGAAAAAAAAATAGAGAAAGAAGGAAAAAGAGAGATCTATAAAGCTAGGCAGAGAAATGCAATCTGAAATCTGTCCAGGCTTACCACATCAAACTGCTTTCCATCTAGAGGCAGAACGCTCTCTTCATTCAGCAGACAGAAGTAGTGGCTTAGAACAGCTGTCTTCAGACCTTCCGCACGAATACACTGTACTGCTTCTGCCATTATGGGGAGCTGTTTTATCATCTCCTTTCTGATTAAGTGCAAGAGAAAGGAATCCACTGGAACTGAAACATTTGCCTAAGAAACCAGAGAAATCCCAACAACGATAATTAGCTATATATATAATATTTTTTTAAACAGTGAGGAAAAGGCAAGATGAGGAATGGCTGGGTAGATATACTGTCTGATCACCTTATTTTGCTGTCTTATTTCCTTTAGCAGTGGTAGGCAGACAGGGAATCTCTTGGCTGAGACCGAACAAAATGGAGTTCTCATGTTACTGGTTCTACAGAAAAGCAGTAAAACTAAAGGGCTGATCTGGGGAAAGGGAAGTACACTAGAACTGTGTCTGCCATTGAATCAAGGCACGGAGGAGTTAAATGCAACATTACTATTCAGCAGGCAAGAAAGGAACTTGCATTTTAAACTGAGCTGCATTAGAAAGACTTCATGGAAAAGAAGACTCTTGCATTGTGTTCAGGCAGGAGGAAGTGAAGGCAAATTCTGTTCAGAATGCTGTCTAGGGACCAGGAGGATGAGGGCAGTGAAAAATCTGCCCTGATTGATAGCAATACCTCCTAAACATCTAAGAAGCCTTTAGGAAACTGCAGACAGTAAATCTGAGCCCGTTCTTGCTCGATACACAAAGCACCAACAACTTC